CTCCACTACCCTCCTCGGCGCTGGACTCCTCTAGCGCTGTGCCTCATGGTCGATGAGCAGCGCAGCTGCAGTCTCAAAATGGCGCAGCAGGGAGTCTCCAAAATAGCGCAGCAGCCAAGTTCCTGAACCAGCATAACGCTGGATTTCTCCTGGTACCTTCTGTGTCCGAACTGGGCAATGGCCCAGCTTAAGCAGTGCTGGGCCAGGACTGAAAACCCACGGCCTGCGTTCTGGACCGTGCAGATCGAAACTCCGATCCATGGTCCAGGTCGCAGGCTTCGAAAACTGGTTCAGTCCTTGGCCTAAAACGGCCTGCCTGGGTCCCTACCGGACGTCCAGGCCCTGTCCAGGATTAATCTTCCTGGTACCTGGCTTCAAACCGGTCCTGTGCGGACGTACCCGGCCTCAACATCGGCCTGGATTCGAACAGGTCAAAATCTGTTCGAAAACAAAAGAAAAGGTCCAAACGTTTTTAGGAGCTCAGCCTCTGGGCCTGAATCTGGCCCTGGCCCTAGAAGCGTGTACCTGGCCACAAAACGGACAACAGTACACCCGTTAGAAAAACAGCAGCAAATAAATAAAATAAAGACTATAAAAATAATCTAAAGCTGGCGTTTTTCTGATGCAGGCCCAAGTAAAAATGCCATAGGGCCTTCAGGTTGCGGTGACGCGACCTGGGGGCCCTATTCCAACCTCGGGTCCCGTGAGGGGCCCGTGTGTAGGCTTTCAGCATGTAACATGCATACTTGTATTGTAGTTTGTAACGACAATGACACCCATTTTCTGTTCTTTGGGAAAAAGCAGCTTGCTACCAAAATCCCCCCAGTATAAACAGTCCAAATTCTCAAAACATGAGATCAAGCCATCACATTAGCGCAATGACCCCCACAGTTACAGACTGAGAAATCTGCAAGCAGAATGCATCATCCATGTCCGTTTGAGTGCGCAGATACGGAAGTCATACCAAACGCATGAAAAGCAAGTTTGCCTTCTTTCTCAAAGTCACAACAGAGTTCAATGAGGTTTACAGTTGCCAGATACTGCATACACACACCACAAAATTATAAATGCAGCAATGGTGGGTGAAATGGTTTTCACCTGTTAGCAGTAGCGAATGCAGATCCCAGGGCTCGATCCCTAGTTCTCACCTTATCTGTGTACAGTATCGAGATGACCCCGGAGTGTTTGAACCCATGACCTGTGTTTTATTAGTTGTTGTTTGTCTGTCGTAGGACTCTGCAGATCTAGGGATTCGATCTGTAGGTCTGTCGAGTAGGGGGTCACAGCTCTGTAGAGGTCGTAGCTATAGGTCTACCAAAAGGTCAAGGTCGTAGCTGCTACAGTCCTGAAAGGTCAAGGTCGTAGCTGCTACAGTACGCGAAAGGCCAAGTCCACAGACTTCCGGAAGATCCCGGAAGTGGCCTTTCAGGAGTGGGCTCACGGGAAATCTGCACTGCTGAGTTTCGCGTGAGCGCCGGTCGGTAAGCGCTCCCGCCCGCGCCAATTTTCGAAGCGCTGTGTCCTCCAAGTAAGCGCGAATTTTCGCGCGTCTTCTGCATACGCCATCGCTGTCTACGGCACACGCCATCGCTGAACGGGAGACGAGGGTGCTACTGCCCCCCGCCGCACCTTCGGGCGCGGCCATGTGTGTGTGTAAGTAGTGAACGAAGCGCGCGACTCGAAGGCATGCACCAACGCCTGCGATTTGTGAGATCAGGACAAACCGCTAGGAAGGACGTCCAAACTGCAGCAGCCAACGCCGTTGGTAAGGCTTCACGTCGCCGCCGAAAGTTGTCGTAAAGGAGATCTAGCCCCCACGCGGCACCTACTGAAGCGGCCATATCGTCAACGGAAACGTCTTCGACCTAATATTGGATCTCGTCAAGTGAGAAATCATCGGCCCCCCACTAACACTCATTTCCCTTCCTGGTTTCGCTCCTCCGCTATCCCTCCTCCACGATCTCTCCCCTACGTCGATCTCCCCCTGGGTTGTTCCCCCTACGAGTTACCCCCTCCTGTCCAAGTAGTAATGCACCCCCCGTGTCTTTCTTACGTACTTCCCCCTGCAAATTTTATCTGATCAGTCCCCTCCCCCGGATGAACTCTAGGCTCCCTCCTACCCGCATCTCAAACTCTGATCTATACCCCTACCATTGACCCACCATTTCGCACCACCTACTCATCTCACCAGTAGTCCACATCAGTGTCCCCC